AACGTCCTTTACTTAATCCGTGCAGGCATATTTTAAAGTAAAGAGTTTTAATAATTAAATAATCGTCTATCGTGTTTACTTATTTCATTGAAATCAAATTTCGAAGCAATAAAATATCGACCTTTCTACCTGTTGTGAAGCTTTAAATTTTCATCAAAGCTTTAAATTCCTCAAAGCTTCTTTATTCACGATGTCGTTCGATTTATCGTGTTAACATTAACTTTCATGTCTCCTTCTATTATCGAAAATAAAAATATAGCTATAATTACGAAATAACACTTACCTATAAGATTTGCATGTATTGCTAAATATCGAGTTGATAATACGTGTTTTAAAAAATTCAATTTCTTTTTACAGCAGCCGCTTAGAAATCGTCTACCTTGTTTATTTGCTGAAAGTTTGGGATAAGCTATGATATCTACAAATATTAATTATTAAAATAGCTTATAAGTTCAATGTAATTTTTGATAGCATTTGAGTGATTATCTGAAGAATATATTTAAAGGAAAAAGAAAAAAAAAAGATTTTTCTTTATAGAAAATAGATCACGTTATAATTATTCATCGCATACATCTAATACTAATCCATCTAAAAACCAACGTAATGCAAAATTAAAAATTTTACTGTATATTCTTCATTCTTAATTTTCCAATTTAACAATGAAAAATTAAATCGTTTTATCAGATCATATTAGCAAATCTTATATTATTAAATCCTGAAGGAATTTATATATATACATTAACTATGTATGTAACTGATAAAAATAATATGTAATTCTTTTAATATCCTCATATGTTTGAAAGAAATTGTCAATTGATCGTTAAAAAGGGATATTTAACGAAGGCGTATTTATATTTATAAACGTTATTAATTAATTATCCTTCAATAAATGATTTGTAGTCGTTAATTATCTCGAGAATAACACAAGCTCTTTTTCACACAATCTGTTTATTACAAACAGTGTCGGACACATTTATTATTCTCCATCATTATTATAACTCCCAAGCCTAAGTGTACATTATATTTTCTTTGCCCATGTTCGTAAATTTGCTTAATTATAAATAGGGCAAGAGACAAGCTTTCACGTTAGTTGAACGATGCACATGTAAGATTTTCGAAAAATCAACAAACAAATGAATTAATAATATACGTAGGCGATATATTTTAAATCTAGAATACACCGTTTAATTTCCAACTATTTGATTTTTAGGAGCGATTACAATCACTTTCCTCCTTCTAAAATAAACAAAACGGTTTTGTTTTTCATCATTTGATCCGTTGCTTCCTGTTACAATAAATACTGGCATACTACTCTTATACAAATTTATGCAAAGCTTTGCAAAAGACTTGGACGCTAATTATAGAACTACTTAATAGCCAGTCATTTAGATAGGTAAAGCATGAATTAAAAAGCGGTAGCTTGTATTTTATACAAAATTAATATCATAAATCATACGTGCTTATAGTGTAACGTTGCGTATTAAAAATAAAGTGGCGAATATAGACAGTTTATATTGTGTCACGCAAAATGCCTATAACAATGTAATGTTCCACTATGTTTACGAGTAAATTTTTAACGATACTAAGATATTTGCATCCGAGGGGAGAACAAGAATTTCGTGTGTTCGAGGCGAACGTTGATTATTGGTAATAAGCCTACTGGAAAGCCGATAAATCTCTCGTTTCCGCTTCCGACGATTCACGATAGAGTTTTACAGTCCCCAACTACCAATACTACTACTACCATTATCAGCTGTAAAATATTAGATAACACATACGTGCAGGCGCGTAAGCTCGCACGCACGCACGCACGCACGCACGCACGCACGCACGCACATCGTTTTAGCACTCGGCGTGCCATCGGATATTACCGAATCTCTTGATGGATCGACCTACCTTTCCTCAAATTGAGAGAAACGATACAATACAAATATTAATGAATCACTACTTGCATATTCATACATACGTTTAGCACTTAAGTAGATATATAATTTGATTTTATATTTATATTATTTATGACGTAAGTAAGTAGCCACTGAAATCCGAGTGAGTCAATTATAAATAAAATATTACTGCGCACGCATGCATGCATGATATGCACATAATTTTATATTCGCGTATTGCCGTAATAATTACTTCGACCAACAAAACGTTATTGAAATTTTTACGAATCTCTTGTCATAATTACAACAATAAATCAAATAAATAATAATAATGTATTGCGAGCGTGCAAAAATAACGTTATGGGTATCCTGTACGTTTATCATATGTCGAGCGATGGTCGCAATGTTTATTTACAGTCATGAGGTTCCCGTATCGCGTACGTAAACTTTGACGTTCTCCAAACGCTCATTGGGCGCACGCATACCCGAACGGGCACCTCGCACGCCTTCTCCCTAAATCGATCATTTGAAATTCGTAACCGCCGTTAAGGATGAATAGCGAGCGATCGATGATTACGGCACGCACTGCTAGTACGCCCGAATGAGACAATTGCCGACACGACTACCTCCGTAAATAATTAAGGAAGCCTCGTCGAGGAGCTACGCACACGTACAGTCGGCTATATCTCCCTGGCCAGTGGACAATGAACGTTTTAATGATAAAAGCGCTTGAATAAAATCGGGATCGTCCAATTAGCTCGTGAATGAGCGATCGACTCGATATATCGTTACTCTCGAAATTGCCGTTAGAGGAGACACAGGGTACGCGAAAGGCTCGAAAAGCTTCGTAATTAGAATCGACACGACAGTGAGAGAATATCCGGGCTCGCGGTCACGCTTTATTACGCCAGTGTCATCGAGCGCGCGAACGGCTTATCGACTTGGCAGTGCGTGCGATAATGAATTCGCGGGCGCGGAAACAGCGTGGGCTTGGATAATTGCCGGTACATCGCGCTCACGTCATAACTGTCAAAATGCGTCGCGATTCCGATGCGTGCGGTTCTGTGTGCCCGGATGATAAGTGATAGCGCGGATCTCGCTACCGACCGGTGCCTCCTCCCGATTACCATCGTTTTATCGCCGCTCCCACGACGAGGCACCGATGATGTAGGATAAGACGCGCGTACCGCCCTTGCCTGTCCTCCTCCGTCTGCCCCTCCTCGCGCGCTAAAGGCGACCGGCACCGATGAGCGCAACAAGCTCGTCATTGCCATTCAATCATGTCCGACCATTGTATCGATCCTGACCTTGAATCTCGTGCTCTGGCGCACATTGTACTCCAATGTAAACGGAATGATCGAGTGATTGAGAAATCTGGGGCGCATTAAGGAAGTTTGGGATTGACCAAGTGTCGGTGCCAACGCTACCACCATACATTTATCGAATCACGTTACCAATGATCATTACCAAGCAATCGCAGCTTCAGTAATTAAGCCTCTGCATTATAACAGTTTAAAAGAACGTGAAATTGTCGATGTAAAAGTTTAATGGATTGGAGTAGTGATTGAGAAATGCCGCTTAGAGCGAGCTTAAAGCGGCTTAATCGCGTAAACGCGCGTTAAGTCTTGCATCATTTTACGAGGATATAAGCCTTTAGAAAGTCGACCATTGGCGTGCTTAGCGGGGACAATAAATAATTAATTCACTGGTTGCACGACGTGCGCGCAAATCACACAAACAGAAGCAGCACCGTGTTATCACGATCTGACCCTTTTGAAAATAATATATCCCTCTCCTTTATATCGGGACCTCGTATTTCAACATCTACACCAAGGCGATGACGATGACGATCATTCAAAGTTTCCTTTGCCAATCTCTCTTACGGGGCAAATACACGTTAGCTATGTTAGCCGATTTTCCAATTCTTTGACGAACGTAGCTTGTGCTTGTGCGTTACGTATACTCGTAACAATAAAACTTTACTCTATTATAAGTTGTATGTACCTTTGTCGTTGAAAGCAAATATTTATTTAAAATCCACCTTGGGAAATTTTAATGAATAATATCTCGATTAACGTCTCCTTAATTCTACGACGTAATTCTTAGCGCAAATTTGCTGAAATCTTATAACGAAGACGCGAGCCTTTTCTATCATTTCTCACTCTCTCTCTCTCTCTCTCTCTCTCTCTCTCTCTCTCTACCTTGCTCTGTCAATGTCAGGTATACTCACACACAGATATCTACATATCTATCTATCTATCTATCTATCTATCTATCTATCTATCTATCTATCTATCTATCTATCTATCTATCTATCTATCTATCTATCTATCTATCTATCTATCTATCTATGTATGTATGTATCTATTTATCTATCTATTTATCTCTCTCCCCCTCTTCCTATCTATCTTCGACGTTTAAATTGGGTTAAAGATTTACTACTTGACTTGCCAGAGTTCTGGCATTTTACCATGTCACATGTAATAAGACATAAATAAGACTGAGATTATACATGTCACGTTTCTACGAAATTACGATAACAATTTCTCGACGCTGCGTCGAGATCTTTCGAATGACGAAAGATTAAAAGGGCCTCCTAGGCATAATCTCCGATGAATACATAGGCTGAGCGAGATTTTACATTGCGAAAGAGCTGCAAAGGGAGTGCGAAAAAGCCAATGGGACCTCAGCGTCCTCGTTCCCGTGCGACTTCCGCTCAAAGACAAAATCCGTCTCGAATCTTTTATTAGACGCCCCGGCAGCAGTGAAAAAAGCTCGATAGGCCGACCCCCGCGCGGTACTCCTTACCTCGGCAATTAAAATCCTCGGGGCTCGAGGGAACGCGCGAATTCGCTCATCGCCACGACAAGGCAATAGCAAATAATTAGCGGCGCGCGAATCGATATGAAGAGGCAGCGCGTGCATGCACGTTCGAAACGCTTGGCCAAGAAAAACAGCGCCATGGAGAAGATCCAGGGAGCGTCGCTCGAGAAAAGCTCGCTCCCCCACGAGGAGGTCGAGGGGGAGAAGGTGATGGCCCAAGAGCCGAGCGAGCCGTCCACGACTGGCACCTTATATGGCATCTATTTAACCCCGAAATTTTGGATTTGTTTGCAGCCGTCGAGCGGCACGGAGGCGTCGGCGGCACGAGCACCGGGCGACTCCCCCACGGCCAAGGAACAGCGCAGCTTGAAGAATGCGGTGGGCGGCAGCTACTCCGCGGTTAGCGCTTTCCGACAGTGGAAGGACGGCAATAGCGGGTCATCGTCGGGCAGGTCGAGCGACGCGGGCTCGGTCGCGATCCCGGCGACGACGGCGACGGCGATGGCGATGGTGGTGGCGGCTACGGCTACGGCGACGGCTGCGGCAACGTCAACTACGACCGCGGCCACGAAAACGGCGACGCGAGCCGAGATCCGCAACCACGAGCACTTTGCCCGCGTACTGTCCGACGCGACGATGCCCGAGGAGGATCTCTCCCTCAAGTTTCTCGCACTCGTGAGTCTCTCAACCTGGTCCGCGCGTAATACTCTACGCGTCCGTCCCCATCCGAACTCTGTCACGAAATTCGCGGCCTCTTGGTGCGCCGCCATGACCGAGCGACTAATACTCGAAAACAGCGAAATTAATAACAACACGAGCATGAGGATTCCTTCTGCTCATCTCCGCGAGCTTAATTCGTATTTCGCTTGTCTTTCATAAATCAATTGTCCTAATAATACGCGAACGTTCTATCTCGAATCGTTGCCTTTATTATTCTAATTATTCTAATTCAAATTTTAATTTTAATTCCATCGCTATCCTCTATCATTGTTTATTAATCTTTTCTTCTTTTTTTTTCTCCCTCGAAGCAATTACTCTATTTTACATGGAGTGTAAATATTTCCCCATGGAACGCGACAAATGCAATATCCTTATGCCCTATGATTTTATTGCATTTAAGATGCTAATATGTTGTAACATGGAAAAATTGATCCTTCGTTGGGTAAAAGACAATTATTTCAGCGACTATTATATAATAGATCTTCAATTAATAAGTAATTTTACAATCGGAAAAGTATTTTCTTCGATAAAGGCACTTTGTAGACTTGTTGATTTAGTCTTACGAGATAATTCGTTTAATTTTCACCTGAGAATCAGAATGCAGCTTGATTTTCCTTTTTATTAACTTTTGTTACAAAGATAAAATACTTTTGAGTGTACTTGTCAAATACGAACTTCAGCGTCGT